CCTTCTATCTTTAATTGATACTATGAATTACTTATTCTGGAAATGTAGGGGAGCTGGGAGTAAGTTCTTTTCTAGGCTTATTAATAATCTAATTAAAGTTCATAGCTTAGACTTCATTGCTCTTTTTAACCTAGAATTAATATGAATAGGGCTGAGTTGGTTATTAAGAAATTCAACTTAGATGGTTCTATTAAGATTGAAGCAATAGGCTTTACTGTGGGTATTTGGTGTTGCTAGAACACCAAGAAAATTAAGGTTACTGTCTTAGATAAAAATAAGTACTTTATACACCTTAGGATTAGTAGTGGTCAGGGGGATTAGGTCCTCTCTTTTGCCTATGCTAGCCTTTAGGAAGGTACTAGAGTCTAATGTTGGGAGTCCTTCACTAGGTTTAGTAATACCATTAATTATCTCTGGTGTGTAGTAGGGGACTTTAATTCCATTCTATTTTAAAATTTCATTCCTGCTAACCTTAGTCTCTTTAATCAATTTGCTTATTGCCTTAATTATTGTACCTCTTTACCTGGCAAAGAGGAAATATCAGGGAGAGGATTGAAAGAGTTGTGGCCAACAACTCTTGGAGGATGATATTTTAAAACAGCTCAGTCATCTATATTCTTTTGTTAAAGTCTGATCATCTTGGTCTGTGGTTAAAAATTAGAAGCAAGGATAGTACTTGGCAGTGTCCTAAGTCCTTTAAATTCTTGGTCCCTTGGATGTCTCATGATGATTTCAGAAATCAGGTTCATAATTATTAGATAAGCTTTAATTCTTGGTATGAAAATATTAATAATTTCAGGACTAATATTCCTGACTGGAACTTAAATGTGTTTAGAAATATTTTTAAAAAGAAGAAGAGATTGCTAAATAAACTTAGAGGAATTTATGCTAAATTAGCTATTAAGGAAACTCCCTATTTGCTTAATTTCATGAAATTGCTATGGACTGAATATCAGAGTATTTTGGACTCTAAAGAAGTTTACTAGTTTCATCATTATAAAGCTAGTTGGATCAAACTAGGAGATAGGAATAATAGTTTTTTTCAGAAGGTTATTGTTATTTTTAGGAAAAGTAATCAAATTGAGACTCTTAGAAATGACATGGGTAGCTGGTAATTTGAACCTTTTAAACTCTAAGACATCGTTGTCTAGTACTTTAAGGATTTATATGCTAACCCTTGCCTTAATAGTAGTCCCCTCTTGATTGTCTCTATTAGATTGGTGTATTTTCATATATGTATTATTTCCTTTGAATGGTGTTGTATATGCTTGAAATGTATAAATTTCATATGTTGAAATATGAATGCAAAAGCTAAATGATTGTTGATTTAAGAGTTGAATAATTGTAGTGTGGAGTGGTTGTTGTGTTTAATATCATTGAGTGTATTAGATGTATAATAACCTAAGGATTGTAGCTGAGAACTTGTATTGCCTCATTTTAGGAAGAATTAAAAGTTCTAGATACAAGATGTCTCGCTCAGGCGAAGTAGTTCTCGCTCAAGCGAGATTGAGTCATGCAAAATTGAGCATTCTAGAGCATTCTCGCTTAGGCGAGATAATTTTCGCTCAACCGAGACAAGATAAGACCTCTCCAACTGTCCTCTTGCTCAGGCAAGAAGGGATCTCGCTCAGACAAGAGGTGACTTTGCTCAAGAGAAGTTCGCTTAGGTGAGGAGTCACAGGAAAAATAGGTAGCTTTTTGAACCCAATATCTCTGGAGGGGTATTTAAGGAACCCCCAATGTAGAGAAACATTTATTTTCTCACCAAACAACCTTCCCCTCTCGTTTTCTCTATGTTCTTTCACCTTCATCCTTTAGGAAAAAATCTTCCTAAAGCTAAACTTTCTCTTGATCCAAGTGAAAACATCCATTAAGTACAGATCTAGGTGAGTTCCTAGGACATGGTTCTCCTACTTTACTCCTTGTTTCTTAATTTTCTTCCTCAAAAGTCTCTTATTGTGTGATATTAAGGAGACTTGAAACCCCAAACCTTGCTAGTTGGAACTCACAAAGATTCAAAACTAAGAATATCCATTTTAGGTTAGGGGAGCTTACCTGAGTCAGCTTTGTTCACTCAATAAATGCCAAGATATTTACATAGATAACTTTGTTTTAGTTGAGAATGTCTTGCTATATGCACAAACCTTAGGTTAGAGCCCAGAGCATGTATAGCTGAGGAGATTTCTCTATTGTTTGATGATTGTTTGAATGTTGTGGTAGAAAATGACTTATTGAAATATTTGATTTATGTTGTGAGTTGATTAGTTTTATTCTGAAGGAGTATATAGCTGTGTTGTATCATGTTAATTTCCCTCATTCTAGAGGCAAGTTACATGTTTAGGTGGTTAGACATGTAATGATAGATATATTGAACTATTCTGTATTTGGATCCAAATACTAGGATGAGTCACTCCCAGACTATAAATAGTTCCTCTAGATTGCTTAGTCTGTGAAACTAGTTGGGACTGCAATGTTGCATTTGCATTAGATGGGCTGAGAATGGGCTAAACTATTATGTTAAATTGCTGAGGACTGTTTGAGTTGTTTAAAATTTCTAACATTTCCATATCTATAGTGATGACTGCTAGTTACATAAGCTCACCCTTGCTTTTATTTGTGTTAGCGTGTGTGCATGCTACGATGATCGTACGGTAGTACGAGAGCAAATGTGACAGGAAATGCATCCACTTCTCATGCTGGAGGGTCTAATTGAGGAACTTTGAAGTCGCCACACTTTCTCTTTTGGAAAGATTGTAGCTTTAGTCATTTTGTTAGTGTAGGTCTTAGTGACAGGTCTAGACTATCTAGTTACAGTATTCAGAAATGTAACTATTATTCATGAATCACACAATTTTTGGGTTGTATGAAAAAGGTCTTGTGACTTTACTATTATGTTGAATGTTGAAATTAAATTTCTGGAAATTTTTTCTTTTGCCTTATAATTATTTTATTTTATAAATAAATATGTTCTGGGAGCAATAATACATGATCACCGATCCTTTATAAAAATAGGTCGTGACAGTTTCCAGTTTCCCTCCCCTTAAGGAATCAAATTTTGTTCTAATTAATGTTGATCCTAGAATTGAAGAGGTTAGAGATGCTTTATTTAGCATAGGGAACTTTAAATCCCCTGACCCAAATGGGCTGCATGCCATTTCTTTAAAAACCAATGAAATTTTCTTACTCCTTTCATATTCAGTTTTGTTTTAGAGGTTTTCAATAACCCCCGTAAGATTTTTGAGGTTAATAGCATTGTTATTTCCTTAATCCCGAAAGTTGATGCTCCTCAGTATATTAAACAATTTAGGCCCATTTCCCTTTGTAATATTAGTTATAAAATTATCACAAAAATTCTTGCCAATAGAATTAGGGGATTTCTTCCTAACCTAATCTCTGAAAACTAAACTAGTTTCATCCGAGGTAGGCAGGGTATTGATAATACCCTAATTCTTCAAGAGTAGGTCCATTCCTTTAATAATCTTAACCGTAGGAGTAATTACATGATTATTAAAATTGATCTTGAGAAGGCCTACGATAGGCTCAGCTAGAGTTTCATTGAGGACACTTTTTAGGTAATAGGATTTGGCCCTAAATTCTCTGCTTTAATAAATAATTGTATCTCTTCTTTTTCTATGACTATCAATTGGAATAATAGTAGAATTGAATCCTTTGAGGCTAGTAGGGGCATTAGGTAAGGTGACCCCATCTCCCTTTACCTTTTTGTTATGTGTATTGAGTGCTTAGCTCATTTAATTCAAGATAGGCATAATGAGGGAAAATGGGTTCCTTTCTCTTTCAAAAATTCTAGACCCAAAATATCTCACCTCCTCTTTGTTCATAATATTATTTCAGTCACCAAAGCAGATAAATAGAATGTTGAAACTATATTTTAGGTGTTAAATACTTTCTGCTCTATCTCTGGCCTTTTTATTAATAAGAAAAACTCATTTGTGTTTTTTTTTTCTAAAAGGTGTGACCCTGCCCTGATCCAAGAGCTGAGTAAAGGGCTAGGAATTAGGAGCTCCCCTAAATTTGAGAAATATCTTGGTATACTGATTAGTCACCTTAATCTGACTAGGAATGATTTTAGTTTTATCATAGATAAAGTTAGAAAGAAACTTTCTAGTTGGTAGATGAATTCCTTATCTATGGTTGGCAGAATTGTGTTGGCCCAATCTTGTATTTTGAGTATTCTCAACTATTTTATGTAGGCAGGCTTTATTCTTAAATCTGTTTGCAAAAAAATTGATCAAATATGTAAAAACTTTATTTGAGGTTCTTTGGAAGGGAAAAAGTGTCATCTGATAAGTTAGAAGACTATTTGCCAACCTAAGTGTAGGAGGGGATTAGGGTTTAGGGACATTCATAGAATCAACAAAGCCTTCATAATAAAGCTCTGTTGGAGGCTTATTGCATCTCCTAATGAATTATGGTCTCAGGTTAGTTGTCATAAGTATAGCTTTGCGTTAAGAAAAATCCTAGGGTTACTAAGAGTCATTATGTTTCCCCTTTGTGGAAAGGTATGACTGCTGTTCGGGATAGTTTCTCTTCAGGTCTTGGTTGAATTTTAGAAAATGGTATGACTGTGAAATTCTGATAGGACAATTAGCTCCCTTAATACCCAAGCCTTTCTAACTTTGCTCTTTTTACTTTTCTTTGACCAAGGTAGGTGAAATTGGAGGAAAATTAGGCAGGTTCTCCCTAGGGCCATTTGTGAAGAAACAGCCCTTACTAGCCCTCTTGTTTTTTCTAATGAGCCTGATCAGGTTTTCTGGAAAGACACCAGAAATGGTATTTTATCAACAAGCTCAGCTTATAATCTCACTTCTGCTAGTAATCAAAATAATAATTCTACTAATAAGAACTTTGATTTAATCTAGAAATGGAAGAGTCCCCCTAAAATTTTTGTGTTTTATGGAAAGTTTTCCATGGGAGGCTTTTAACTAATATGGAGCAGTTCCATCACCGAATGAGTAATTTCTTTGATTGATGTAGATGTAATGAGGGCCCCTAAGACTGTGATGCATGCCCTTAGAGACTGCTATATGGCTAATCAGCTCTGGAATAAGATCATCCCACTTGATAAATCGGCTGTGTTCTTTAGCCTTGGTCTAGATAATTTGTTGTTGTTTAACATAATTGTTTTTTCTCATGTATCCTTTTTGACCTTCTTTATTTGGTTTTGTAGCCTACCATTTGTGGAATAATAGAAACTGTGCCATTTTTCAGTTTTCTGCTTTAAGTATTGAAGATATGTTGAAAAGGATTGTTTATGAGTTTGACTACTTTTTCTCTTGTAGTAGGAGTAAGGTGTTGTTAGCTACCAAGCAGTTAAAGCCTCAAAGTATGGTCAAATGGAAACCTCCTCTAAAAAACCAATTCAAGTTTAATACTGATGGCTTTGTCGAGCATGAGTTGAGGGCTGCTAGTTGTGGGGCGCTCATCCAGGATCACATAGGAGCTTTCATAGCTGGTTTCCATAATTCCATATAGCTTTGCTCTTTGGTTGCTACTAAACTTTGGGCTATTGCTTGGAGCCTCAAACTAGTTATAGCTAAAAATATTTACATTATTTATATTGAATGTGATTGTAAAGAAGCTATCTGTTTAATTACTAAATCTAGTGTAATAACCACCATTTGACTATGGTGATTAGGGAAATTAGGACTCTCCTTAAAAATATTAAATTTGTTAAGTTTAACTATGTCTTTTAGGAGGTCAATCAATGTGTTAATTGGGTGGCTCAACTTGAGCACGAGGATGGGAGGCCATACTGCTGGCCGGATTATACTCCTTCCTCTTTAGAGCCCTTGTTAAGGCTGGACTCTTTTAGCTTTGCCTGGCCTAAGTTTTGTAATTAGTTTTCTTCTTGTTTTTAGGCTTTGTTAAGTCATATTGAAAAAAGTAAAAAAAAATTAAAAAAATTAACTTAATATATTATTTATTGAATTAAAATAATATTATAAAATATTTAATAATTTTTTTATAAAATTAATCTACTGAATAAAAACCTTAAAATCAACGGTGTTAAATTGATTAATCTCTTATCTTATAAAAGTTTATTAAGTATGATAATCATACAAATTTAAAATCTGATATCAACATATTTTAACACATGTAGGTGACTAATTAGAGTTAATTCAAGTAGCATGTACTTAATTTTGTAATCAAAATCTTCGGTTAAAACTTAATGAATAAAATAGTTGTTAATTAAAAAAATAATTCCATTATACCTGTAAGTATTGTTAACTCAAAAAGAATAATATTATGTCAAAAATGTGTACGATTTCAAAAGATAAACGAAATAAGTTAAGTTGAAAAAAAAGATATTAGCCATATTGGATTATTCTGTTGTCGTCACTGCTTACGGCCTGCAATGAGGTTGCTTTTCTTGACTTCTAAAATCGTGAGACTGGTCACAGACTCACATAAGCTGAGAAGAAGAGAGGGAAGTAAAAAGAAAAAGAAAAAGAAAAAAACTATATAACAATAATAAAAGAAATTAAGAGATGAGATCATCAATCACACCTTAAATAGCCATGCAATTCCTGCACAGAGAAGGCGTTGCAGGATGAGACCATGGCAATTCCTAGCCATAACATTAATGGTTACCAACATAGCAGCGTATACGTTTTGCTTATTTGGTCAAACTTGATGCTGCACAAGTTAAAACCCAGATCTTCAGTTAAGTATTGTCTGTTCCACTAATTAACAGTTAAAGTAGCTACTAATAATATACAAATAGGAAAGAATCCTATCATGCGTGTGTTTGGTCCTTACTACTTGTATCAACATCTATTTTTTCAGACTGAATATAATTATTAAGCTGTGAGTGTATAGACATGACTTTAGAATAAGTTATTTTAATGTACCCCAAAAAATTTAGATATTTTAAGTATTGCACAAAGAAATTAAATTCGTGCTGTAAATTAAAATTAACTTTTATTGCTCTTTATTATTTTAGAAGTTATTTTATTTTGTTTCATGACATAATTGTCTTAATAAAAATTTATTTTTTTTAGAGGGCTTGAGTACTATTTGTAATAAGTCATTGCTATTATTACATCACTTTGTTTGTAAAATAATATTTTTTTATTTTTTATAAGTATTTACGTAAAATTTATTTAAATTAGATCATAATATTTAAAAAAATATATACATACTTTTGAATAATCATTCCCAATCACATTTATGAATACAACACGTGTTTAATTTATTTTATTTTAAACTTCTTATAAAATGAATGTGTTTTAAATTTAAACAATAAAAAAAATTAAATTACCATTAAGTAAATATTGTTCTTATGAATAATTATAAAATTATTACTAAAACCTAAAGCAAATAATGGTTTTCATATCGTGATTCCAGGTTTTAAAATCAATCTTCAAATATAACATAGGCAACTCTGGTTAGGTGGCTAACAATCAGATCACATTTGACGTAAAATCAATCTTAAAAGACAAAATAGGTGGCTAACAGTCAAATCATATTTGATATAAAGGGGGAACATCAGATGAGAAAAGCAGCACTTTCTTACAAATAATAGCACCACTATTATTAAGTAAAAATACATTTATTCATAATTCATCTTATTTCCGAATGTAAAATAAATATATTGAGCAACATTTATTTTTGTTATAGATATCTAAGTATCCACCTGTCCCATACCTACACATATATATATATATATATATATATATATATATATATATGTTTGAATTTTGTTTTACAACTATGCATTAAATTTTTGTATTATTATATTACTTATGTGAAATTATATAAGATTAATATAAAAATATATTTAATATTAAAATAAACCAAAAAAATTATTTTAATTTATATTTTTAATAGAAAAATTTATTTACTATTTTATATTATTTAATTAGGCTAATACAATTTAATTATTACATAGTTGATATAAGATTGACTTTTTTAAAAATATTATTTATATATGACACACATAAAATATTTTTCACATAAATATTTTTGTTAATAAAATCATATTGATATTTAAATCATAAAGTGAATATTTTATAAATTTTACAATCATCTACTATTACCGTAAACTTATTATTTATTGATAATATTTAAATTTTATTTTTTATATTTAAATTTAAAATAATATTTTTCTATCCAACATATGTATTACAAGCATAATTATAATATATTGAATTTAAATAATATTATTCTTATTATTTATTTATGTTTAAAGAAGTTTTTGAAAAGATATAAAATATAAAAAATTATTGTTACTTTTTATTTGTTAATTTTTTCTTCAGATAAAAAAGTATAATTTTTTTTATATACACATATATTTCTTTATTATAAAATTTTATTGTGACCATTTATCTTTTATTCAAATTCTTTCTTTTAAAATTTATATACATTATAAATATTTAATTCATTAAGATAATTTTTCAAAAATTTGTATTTTTGACAAAATACTTTCGTATAGTATATAAGTTAAAAATAATAGTATTAATATATATATATATATATATATATATATATATATTAATTATATTATATTATTTTAATTAAATCTATTATTTTTCTTATAATTTTAAAATCAAAAGTTAAAAAATATTTTATATATCTACTTTTGGTTGTTAGTACTTGTTTTCATTAAAACCTAACAACTATGAAATGTTATTCATTAGAGTTAGTTCTCAATGCCGCCACAAGAGATCATCAAGTGATCCCACATAAAGGTCACCCATTGTGCAGATTTATTTTGTTGTCGCTCTAACGTTGCCGATTGATCGAATCTCACTTAAGATAAAGTTATCACCGATAAATAACTTGTATGTTTAGTTTCGCTTATTGTTTCTAAGAATTTTAGTTTAAAAAATTATTATATTAAGATATATTTAATACTTGTAATCTTTGAATATTTATTTGTTTATCTATATTTGTACCTTATTCGACAATTAAATATTAAATTTTTCTATTATTATACTACTTATGTGAAGTTATATAAATATTTTTTTCTTTATAAATATTTTTTTCTCAAACAACGTGAGTAATGGGTACAAGATGAGAGCATACAGGTACCGAAAGGATAGGGGTACGGGAATTAATATTCATACCCACACGGATATATGATTGAGTACGAGTATTTTTTTTAAATCGTGAATATGAAGATTGATATTATAATACTCTACCTATTTTCATCCCTATCTCTCTGCCCCTCATACACACGCTGCTAGATGGACTCTACTTCCTATGATTTTATGTGATGTATAAATACATGCTAATGTTACAGTTAACTAAAACGTAAGTGCACAATATATGATTTGGAGAAAATTTATTATTTGAATTTGAATAAAGATTTTGACTTAAACCACTCTGACTGAATTTATAGATATATAATAACTGTTAGAGTGGAAAGAACCTGAATTTATAGATATATAAATAAAAAGTAAAATTATTGTAGCATGAAAAAGTGTAATTTATGTATTATTTTTAATCAATTTCATTCTTAAAATGTATATGTTACAGACCGTATATGAGAGTAACTTTACTAACTGTTAAAATAATAGATTTTTATTTATATTATAAAGTTAATTATACATGTAATAAAATATTTTAAATAATATTATTTCTTAAAATTATATATAACTTAAAATTAGTTGGTTTAACAATTGTATTTCAGTATTTTATATATATGTTATTGTAATTAATTATGTAATTTGATAATGAGGAAAACGATTATGATTAGATAAAGTGGGAGTGAATAAAATCTCTGGTGATTAGCATGGTCCATTAACTTTTTATTTTCTTTGAGGTTTGGTTTGTACAAGTCAAATTAATAAATTGCGAGTGCAAATTAAGCATCATTTAACATTTGATTGGGATGTGTAACGTCTTAATCCTACTTCTGTAACATAATTGTGGATCCTCACCTAATTAACGTCTAATTTTGGTTTACTTAAGCCTATATTTGGTTACCAATATACTCCTTAATTCCTCGTGTTGTAATTAACTAAAATATCCTTGCTCAGAGTTTAACATTTTGCTGGCTAGTGCTTCATTAACTGAGACTTGGAGTATAGCAGAGCTAGTATATATGAATGGTTGTCTTGATTACCCACGCCTAAGTGGTTGCATATTTTCTCTATCTAGTTAAGTTTAATTATTCGACATATTTCTCTCATGTCAATACAGTTTATTCTACTTTGGTAGTTGATTTGTGTTGGAAATATTACTTTAAATAATAATAAATATAAGTTGTTTCTACTTTCCAAAAAATTTATCTAAACAAGACATACAAAATATACGTCTTTTATAAGCTATTTTAATCGTGTTTTAATAAACTTTTTGATATGGTTTTTCAAAATAAATAAAGTTTAGCTTATTTCAATAACTTTAACTGTTAAATTTACGACATAAGTCATCATACATGTAAAACAAATCGATGCTTAATTAATAAATCACTTTATGGTGTATTTAACAATACAAGTTATTTTTATATGAGAATGAGAATAACAAAT